TGGATAATGTGCACGGAAGACATTAAGAAGTCAAGATGGTTTTGCGTTGGTTGACAAGGCAATGGTACGGTAATTTCGTAATAGCGTCCGCGTCTTCCGAAGTTGATGCTTTCGTAGCTCGTCGTCGATTATTTCAATTCCCACGTAACGCTCCACTACGTACGTTCGTTAAACTAGCGAATGGAATTTTGGGATGTCACACGTAGGCCCGACCCGAAGGTCAACAGTTGAATATAACGACCCGTAGGCCCGACCCGAAGGCCAACAGTTGAATATAACGATCCGTAGGCCCGACCTGAAGGCCAAATATTGATAGAACGACCCGTAAGCCCGACCCGAAGGCCAACAGTTGAATATAACGACCCGTAGGCCCGACCCGAAGGCCACAATTGAATATAACGACCCGTAGGCCCGACCCGAAGGCCATAATTGATAAAACGACCCGTAGGCCCGAATTTGAATCACTTCAAACATGTACATCAATCCGCCCAATTCTAATCAATCAACATCATGATATATGAATTATAAGCGAAGGCACTCAAGATCAATTTCCAACACCAATATGCCAAACACCCTCATTCTCAATCTAGACGCATTCAATGCACCCTCGGCACATTCAATTTATTTCCATTCTAACCCAAACAATTCAACATTGATTCCGCACATTTATTACAAATCAATTTAATGCGTCTAAGGCCCGCCTTTGGCAAATCGATCTTGATCTCCGCTCTCACCATCTAGGGGTCTTCCAATAGGGTTTAGACAAGTCCTAACTCAACCCCTAAATTGGCAAAATTCCCGCCATTAATCCATCATCCATTAAATACTCAACTTGGACAAATTAAGGCATTTTCGGTACTGAATGAACAGTACCAGGGCAGATTATGCCTTAGGCACTAAATCACACTTAAACAATCTCATTAGGGCCTAATCACATACCCTAACCATCCAGCCACCAAACACACTTAATTAAGCCTTGTCTAAGCCTAATTAGCCTCTCAAATGCTGAATTCAAGACCTTAATCCATGAACCCACTTAATGCACAACTTAAGCCATTTTATTGCAAATTCAGTGCGGTGAACAGTCCAGGTCGGGAACTAATTAGGCCCTAATTCACCTCTAAACCATATCATTAAGCACTAGTTAGGTCCCCTAATCACCCCACACAACATTAAACCTAATTAGAACCTAATTAAGCTTAATTAACCACCTAATTACCCTCTAAAAAGCACAATTAGACTAATTAAGGGTTTAGGGGTTTATACTCGCCTAAATTTGATTCGAGGCGACGGGAACGGGTGGTCGATTACCGACACGCGGTGAGAATCGACGGCGGTGTTCCGGGTGCAAGCCGGCGGTCACAGCGGCGACGGGGATGGCGAATAGTGGCTGGTCTTCTCTGTTGGAGGCTGGAAACGGGGCTGTGGGTGGCTGACTAGAGGAGAGGGAGGTTGACGGTGGCTGAGGCGTTGGCTGGCTCGGCAAGGACGGCTCCGGCGTGGCTGTTCCGGTGTGAACAGCAATTTCCGGTGGTGGTGGCGTCCAAGAGGAAGAAACGGCAATGAAGAGGAGGAAGGAGGGAGGTCTCGGCAGATCAGAAAAAATGGGAGAGAGAGAAAATAATCTGGTCAAAATGAGTCAAGATTGTGTTAGTGGAGTCCAAGTGTCAATATCTTGGGCCATTGGACAATTTTGCCCTTGATCCAATGGCTAGAATTTGATCTAATCCAATAATGTAAGGGCTCAATGGTCATTTGTCCTTAACCATGGCTGACCAGACCTGGGTTAGTCCCATTTAACCTTGATTAGTCCCCAAAATTTTGATCAATTTTCGGAATTAAAGAAAATGGCCTTAGGGGCATTTTCGTAATTTTTCAATCCCGAACCGAAATTCCAATTTTTGTCCATACCGGTCCTATATATGCATGGCCAGCATAATACGGTGTCGGCTCCTTAAAAATCATCCTTTAAGCCCTCGAAAATCAGTCCAAAAGTTTGGAGGGGCAAAACCGTAAATTCTCATTTTTCTCCCACCAAACGGCGTCGGATTAATTCTGATCCTTCACGGAACTTTCTCGCCATAAAATACCGGTTCTAAAAACCCAACTTGCGTCCCGATCGGCCCATCACGGCCCCATGAACAATAGATCACAGCCACTGTTATTTTCTAATTTCCAATAATTAATGCCCGAATTAAATCCCAAGGCCCGCCATAAAATTTCCACTACCAAATCATACAATTCCGCACCTAACTTTATACAGATTTCGCCCAAAATCGCCCGTCGATACCCGAAGTCCAAAATTGTGTTTAGAGCGCGACTTACTAAAATCAAAGGAGCATTAACATACACTTCATTGGTCCCGGTAACGGGTCAAAATTCAGGATGTTACAATTTTCGTAATTTATTTCGCTCACTTAAGTGTCAGAAATTTGAAGAATCGATCACTTAAGTGCTATAAATTTGAAAAATGAATCACTTAGGTACCATCGATAATTTGTTTCACCGGAAAATCCACTGCCGGTGTTGCCTAGATTTGGCGAGGGCCTCAACACCCTCGCTCGCGGCTGGCAAAGCCGCGAAGGCCCTCGCCCGCAATCGGCGAGGCCGCCATGGCCCTGGGCAAGGGCACGAAGGCCCCGCCGGCCGAGGGCCAAGGGCGAAGCCTTTGTTGCGGGCGCAAAGAAAAAAAAACAAAGAAATAAAAGGAAAACAAAAAATATAAAAATATCAATTTAAAAAAATACAAAAAAAATTATCCATTTTACTCTGATATGGCACTTAAGCGAGCGAAAAAAAAAATTATGGCATTCAAGTGAGCGTTGTACGAAAGTAATGGCACTCATGCCGTACTCATCCCCAAAACTATTAAAGAGACCCCTAAAAACAATCTCCAGTGGCTATAATATGTAATACACTTCTTCTCATAAAAACCTCTCTAAAAAGTATGGATCTGGTCCGTTTCGCAGGTGAGTGGCTGGTAAAATTAGGCTTGGACACTCGGCCACGGCGCTAAAAAGTGCTTTTCTTAATGGAGGTTTTCCCGGCAACCAGCCAATCTTGGCTTGCCTGGTTTGTCCGGGCGCTAGGCAAGCCGTCTGCTTACATCCTCCGACTATCCACCTCCGAGCTTCAATTCCCGATCGAGGCGTTGGCCAAAGCTTGATAGATACTCGAAAACATCAAACTAAGTTGCACTTCCTAGATATGTTCGTTCACTTTTTTTTTTCACTCTATCTCATAAGTTATTCTTCAAACAAATCTAGATTACCCAGTGTGTGTTTGGTGCTTATTAGTATATAGTCCAAACAACAAATCAACTGTTATGACAGCTTATTGTTCAATTATTGAGAATTCATGTTCAGTTGGCAATGGTGTGACCTCTAGGAGCTCGTTCAACCAGCCATAAAAATGACTCAAGACCCATTCCAATCCGAATCTGAAATTATGTTGAGGTGGCAATGGTCCAAACCCCACCCGAAATCTGGCCGATCAGGCAATCATGTTGCCCAAAAAAAAAAAAAAAAGGCAATCATGTTGCCCCTGCCAGGCAGCAGAAGCACCGTATTGTGCAAAACGAGTAAAAGATTTATTGGATGTTGGGGGCAAATCTAACGAGTTAGAAGATCAAACTTAGGTTTAACCTTCAAGTTAACAAGATTGCAACACTTGAGTTGATTTCATTGAGATGTTATGAGGAGAACTCATAACATTTGAACTGTATTAATGGAGTTAATTGTGTCCTAAACTTATTATATGACGATCAATTCGGCTTTAAATCTTAAAATTATGACAATTTAGTATATCTAGCCAATTGTGAATGGGAATTGCTTACGCGAACGCCAGTCGTCTTATATGGTGCGGCCGATGCCGACATTGACAATTCTTTTTAATTTTATTAATTTTTTTTTCTATTTTTTCTTTATTTCATTTTTAACTATGGCTGGTGAAGGCTATTCTCGCCCTCTTTGAGTGAAATTAAAGTTGCATCGAGTAGACCTTGTTAATCGCAGAGGGCTCTCGTACATATTCGATAGAGCACTCATTAGTCCCCCAATGGTGTTCTCTTTCACGATTTTAAACACGATATTATGAGCAAATGTCAGTCAAACAACACCTAACGATTCTCTATTCAATAAATCCCAATCAGCTTCCTTCACCAATCCTAGCTTCTTCTTAGATATGGGTAAGTGCATATTCCTTTGATATAGGTAATCCTTAATTTGCATCTTCATGAAATCAAGATCCTTCCCATTAAATTTATTGAACTTTACTTTTCCTGCTTTTGTCGTCGATTCACTTCAACTCAACCAAGCTTTGCTCTAATATCAATTGTTCCATAAAACAAGCAATCAAACAATAAAATAAAAAAAACCTGAAAATGAATCGCATACCGGATTTACGTTGTTTGGTCAGTGGGACCTACTTCACAAAGAGAGCATCACGAGATTTCAATATAAATCAACCTCTATAATGGAGATAACAACAACACTCAAGTCACTCGAATACTTTCAATGCTTAGCCTCACAACCTTAACGAAATAATCATTCAATCTCACGAAGGAATTCAAAATTTATACCCATAAGATTTAGTTGACTTCAACACTCTCGAGTTGCTTTAAAGTGTAATTCACAAAGAAGTAGCCTCTTGAATACTCTTCAAGAAAAAAACTCGCTTCTTATATCTAGACATTGAACCGAGTCCAAAACAAGACACCTACTCAAATTAGAAAATCTATTTGGATTGGGTTTCCTTTATTGGCTAAAAGTGGGGACATGTTTTCATCAGAAATGATAATTGTTAATTTGATTCTTGGAATAATAGCATCTAATTATTCCAACGCTGCATTTTCCTTGATAACACGAGCTCTCTTAAGTTGAAAAAATGAAATATGCATGCAGTAGTAGAGAACACATTCATATTTCCGAAAATATACAAGCTTGTAAATAAATTATATCCTCTTATATATTCAAAATCAAGAATATGCCCAGACTTTTATTTCCTCTTCTTAAGCGTTAAATGCAATAAAACCAAACCAACATACACTTGCCATGTCAGCACTCTGAGAGGGACCTAACATAGAACGAGCAGAAAGCAAAGAACACAAAATGAACAAGTGATATACCGACAAACAAAGTAAACAACAGCAATCCATTATTTCCAATCATTTCATGCTCAATCCTGATTCTTCCTCGTCGATCCTCAATTAATTAACCTTGGAACACACTTTCCTGACTTCGCCAGCTGTTCCGGTGATCACGCCGATCCGACCCATGTTCAACATCGACACTCCAAAGTCCTTGAAGAAGGTGGATCCACCAGTCTTGATCTGGAGGTCAAGGTACGCCTTGGTTTCGCTGTCGTCGAGAAGTGCGGAGTCCGAAGTGAGGAGGCCTCTTCTCTTCGGGAGGAGATCGAAGTACTTGATGTCGAACGTCCTCACACTTCCTGGGTCCATCTCGACGAGGGTGGTCTGGTCATTCGGCTTGCACCTGAGCTTCAGTCTCGCTATGTAGTGGGAGTCGAGCGAGGGGTCGGAGTCGCCCTTTCCGGTGAAGTTGTAGAGGCGGTTGTTGAAGGAAGAGCAGTGTGAAGTTCCAATGGTGTGCCCACCTGGTCAATAGGAAATCGGAATCAGTATGATCTAACTTTACAAATTACGTTCTCTCCTTGTAGTGCTGACTGTGTTTATGAATCTCATGCTCAAATTACGGCTTCTTCCTGATTAATTTATGCCCATTTCCACAAAATAATTAACAAAGCATACGAAGCGATAATTGGAGATTAGGTGTTACCTGATAGGACGACAAGGTCCTTCACACTGAGGCCTCTCTGTGCCCAACCTGCTTTCAGAGCTGTAATGTTGGCCGTAGGTGGTATCAAACCGGTAAGTGCCTCGGTCATAATGGAAACGTTCCCATCTCTTCGTCCGGTTTCCACATCATAGGAAAGTCCTCCAGTCTGAAAGTGACAACACAAAAAAAGACCCAATCTCTATATAAAAATGTTTTTCTCATTAAAAAAAAACCGTCAAGCTTTACCAAGAGTGTTGTAAAAATAATCTCAATATCGACAAGCAGTACTTGGATCCTCAGATACGTATAGCTAGAATTCGTTTTCCAAAGAGATAACACAGATTGTCCGTGAAAAATGAGAATTCTGCTAACGTCATGCTTATTTAACGAACATTCAAATTGAAAAGAAATAATAAAGGAGGTGATGTATGCATATGCGCACCGCGACGACCATGTCCCTAGCGACAAGGGCCAAAATGTCAGCACACGAAACGATGCCCGGGCATGCCTTCTCCAACGCCGTTTTGACCCTGTCAATCGTTTGGAAACCTCGAAGGCTGTGATTCGGAATCGCGTTCTTCTCGGCATTATTGGTCGGAGAGTTCAATAGCACTGAACCTTCACAGCCCTGTGGAAAAGGTCCAGAACAAAACATGATTCAACTGTGAGTTCATTCATGAAGACAAGTTCGTAACCAAGGACGAATGTGGAGAAGTATGTAGAGGAGGCAAGTACCATTTACTAGTATGTAACTAGTTCTAATACACATTTTTCCAGTTTATCATATTGTTATCTGGTAAGTCAATTTTGTAAATCTCTATGCATCCCTACCATGCATTACCCTTCAGATGAAAGCCCAGGATCTAACTCCTCACACTCTTTTTTGGCCAATGAGTTTTCAATTGGAGAATCCAAATGTTAGTTACATGCAAATAGTCGCGTAATTAGAAAATGGTAAACTTCACGCACATTGTAGGAAGAGAAGCACGCTCGCTCGCTCTCTTACTTACCCTAATGAAACAATCGTGGAAGTGCATCCTCAAGAGAGGGCCGGAGAGACCCGGAGCTTCGGACAGGACTTGGGCCATGACCTCCTTCACGATGGCCTCCGCGTTCGGGCATGCCTTCTCGTAAAACCCTACTTTGAGACCAAGGCCATGGGCGACCTCAGGGACAAGAAACAGGGACGTCAGCTGAAGCAGCAGACAAGACAAGAAGAGCTTTGAACAAGCCATTGCCTCGTGCCAGGAAGAACAATTGATCTTAGTGTTTTGGCTGTGGGCGTTTCATGAACACACCGCTTTGGCTTTTATATATACTTCGCACCAACTACTTTAGCCTTGATTTAATGGCTGTCATTGACATGACAGTTCGGTATACTTTAGTTATTTGCAATATGCATTTTTTATGAGCCGACTGGGGTGCTAACTCCTCTACATTTTTGTACCGATTCATGTTCTTGATTAGCACACGGCTTTGAGCCTTTGACTTTGGTTTATTTTAAGGGCTTGATGGATTTACACCACCGAATTGATATTCAAGAAAACTCGCGAAAGGCACCCATGATATGTCTTTGCCAACTTACCATGCAGTGCAAGAACAAAGGTTCATCATATAAAAGTGAATAAACAATGAGCCATTACCCGACTACGATTAGCTCATTTGCCTAAAACTGGAGAGTTGGCCTCTCTCGTAACGTGGCAGGATCATGTGTTAGCTCAACTGAAGTATTAAATTAACATAAATTAACATGATTCGAACTATATCTTAAGATCAATGTGGCCCATAATAGGGTACGAAACACTCGGCATGTTACTCGGTCAATTCAGACTGAAAATAACATTCCACCTTTGGCAGAGGTTATACTAGTGAAGGTTGTCAGGTAATGCACAGTTGCACAGGCTTGAAGATTTTAGTCAAATGGGGAGATTGGAGAAGAGAGATTCCTTTACTCATTCATGCTCACCAAGGAAAGTGTCGGTATAATGGGTGCGAGAATCCATTCATTGTTCCAAAGGACCATTTCAATTGGTCATGTATATCATTGGTGCATACTAGAAATAACTGGGTATATGCGTTACTACATTTTATGGCTAGGATGCAAGAGTATAGTTAAACCTTTTAAGAGCACACGGTCAATCTCATTGGATTGGGATAGTTCACCTCTTCTCGCCACGATCAGGTGATCCGATCACTGAAGTGGGAGGCTTGTTTCCACGAGACACGAACCCGTGATCACTCTTCTTAAGGCGTGTGGTCTGGTGATGAGTAGAGTCAAATAACCCGAAAAGGCCTTCGAGTTTCATTTCTCCATGATTTAGATAAATTACGAGTCTCAATTTACCTTCTAAACTCAAGACACAAATTAGCAAAGTCCGATCAAAAAGCTTTGATGCAAAACATTACAAACCACTTCATCTGTTTTCTACACTTGATTTCATGGTGAAGTAAATTGTTACTTTCAATTTATCCCTCTATCAATAGGATCTGAATTGTTGAAGACCTACGACTAGAAGAACTTCATGAGTCGGCCACTTAACGTACATAACTTTCCCAAAAGAGAAGGCCTGAATTTGCCAAGTTCATTTGAATTTAGAGAGTATTTTCAGTTTTCATGCATATTTTCAACTTTTTTTCTCGAAAGTACATTTTTTTTGTTAAACTTGAAAGTACGTTTTATAAGTTAAGCAAACCCGTTTTAAAAATATGAAATTGTGCTAATATATGTGGGGAAAATTACCAAAAAAGTCCTAAACCTATTGCAATTATTCCAATTCGGTACTAAACCTTTGTTTTGGCCAATTTGGTCATCAACATTTTGCATTTGTATCAATTCAGTCTATCCGGCCAATTTTGGCCGGCCATCCTACGTGGCACAATTGGCACCGACGTGGACAATTTTTTATAATATTTTATATTTTTATTTTTATAATTTTTCTTTTCTTTTCTTTTTCTGTTTTTTATTTTTATTTTCTTCCTACTTTTCTTTTTCTTCCCCACAATGGCCGGCGAGGCTCGCTGACCGCCGGTGAGGGTCATGGCCCTCACGCTGATCTGGGCGAGGCTTGGGGACGGTGGGCGAAGGCGGCCTTGCCCACGGCTGCGCCTCGTGATATGGGCGCGAGGCCTAGGGGCCATGGCGGAGGCACGGCTACAGGCGAAGGTGGCCATGTCCTATTGCCTTGCCCAGTGGCCAACAAGCCTCTCCGGAGCCTCGTCGGCCATTGTGGGGAAAAAAAAGAAAAGAAGGAAGAAAAGAAAAAAGAAATATAAAAATATAAAAAAAATTGAAAAAAATAAATATTATTAAAAATTACCCACGTCAACGTCGCCTGGCATCCACGTCAGTGCGGGCCGGCCAAAATTGGCCGGATGGACTAAATTGGCACAAATACAAAAGGTTTAGGATTAAATTGACAAAAAAAAAAGGTTTAGGACTGAATTCGAACAATTACAATAGATTTAGGACTTTTTGGTAATTTTCTCAATATATGTGCGTACCATTGAAATTATTAGAGAGGTTTTCTGCAGTGAATCCAGAAAAATGATTTGGAACAAAAACAAAACACACTTGGCACACGAAACTGTATTTTTTTCCGTCTTAAATCTTCAATATTTAGGAATAATCCCTTGTTTTATTTTGAAATTCGTTTCAAATTATTTCCCAAAGCAATTTTCGAATATTCTAAGGAGCCAGTGCGACTCCATCTTGGGTCCTCCCTAAAAAGTGTCTTAATTTTTATATACGATAACGTGGAGACGTTGGAATTTTTTTAATAACCATGTGACATTTTCATCCACACGAAGTTGTCAGATGGGTTGCTTCTAGTTTTGTTCAAAAAGTTTGCACTTTGAAGATCACTAAGGATTTCCTTGCTTAAGCTCATTCACAAATATATGTATATATGGTCAAAGAAATATTTTATTCATTTTTTCACAGATACTTAATAGAGAAACGCAGTCCAACTACAAACCTGGATAACAAAACAAGTTCCAGATAAGAAGATTCATCAAAACAAAGATTAGAGGTCACACGCTCAAAGAGCAGATCACCGAATCCGACTTCAGTAATTAGCACACACGATATCTCAATCTGTTTTTACGACTTTGCCTTTTGACAGTGCGCTCGTAGGTTCGGCATTGCCAATAGCACCCAAAAATAATAGAAATTTTGGGGATCTAGATCTATCGTGGATTAAATCAATTGGTTTCATTAAGTCATGAAATTGACGAATCAACAACTAAAAAAAAATCCCCAAAATGAAGCCACGCCACACCACCAAAATTATTGTAACTTCACCAAAACGCCCTCGCATCTTGCATGAAATAACACGCACACACTAATCAAACGCCTATGCCCACTCCAAATCAAAAATGGCCTTCAATATAGTCACTTCCAAAGCAAGTATACTCTACCATACATATGCTTACACTCTTTCGCCTCAAAATTTTATGTTTTCCAAATACAATTTGTTAAGCTTGTATTGCACTTAATCTTATACATAATTGATTCCATATTCGTGATTATTGACACCTCTAACGTGCATTTCATTCAAGAAGCATGATTATAATCCACATACAATGTGGTTGAATAACAACTTAATTGGAAATGAATAACTTGTTGGGGTGTGATTCATACTCTCCATCGTTAGGAAAGCACGGGAGTTCGAGAGGCGCCACGCCCAATGAGGGTCATTTGTGGCAACGCCCCCGCAATATCGAAGGGCTTTTATAATTTGGGCATATATTTTATTGGTAGTTTGGACTTCGGCCTATGAATAGCTACTAAGTATATATATAATCTCTTTCTTTTGTAACTAATGGATGTAGTAGAGATACGAGAGGAGCTAAATACAGTAGAATTTTCTGCTCGACATAGCCCTAATTTAAGGGTGAACTAGAATAAAACATCGTGTCTCGATTTCTCTTCCTCGTCTTTACTCTCTTTTTCGTTGTATTTATGCGACTAATCTTAACATAATTTAGAGCCAAAATAACAATTTTTAAAAGTTTAGTGGGCCTAATAAGCTCTACGGATTTCTGCTTAATTTTTTTGATCTTCTAAATATTAGAGGGGCTCAAGTATGTGTAAGATATGGGTAATCAGCTCTGCTTATTTCACCACTCTAAAATAATATTGATAGCAAGCACAGAAATCTGCGACACACGCGCCCTAGAACATATTTTACCTTTAATGAAGGCTTTTGCAGTTTTTTTCCAAGAAGAATTCTATCTGGATAAATATAACGCAATAAATCTTCGTCCGTGAAATTATATAATGTAAAACGTTCCATGCCCTAACAGCTTGAGTTTTTGAAGTGAAATAGATTTATCAAAGCCAACGATTTTGAGTCCAGTGATCCAAAGTAATTTCTTATTCGGCTTTAATATGGTCACATAAATGACTCATTTAAAAACATAATATAAGTTAGAGCATATTCGTATAGTCTTAGTCATATAATCATAAAAAATTGTGTTGTTAGATTGATAAGTCGTGTCCATCTTTATATTAAATTACGTCGTATGTCATACATAGATGAGTCTGTCATATTTCAAAATACCAAACCCAAAGTTGTAATATTCAAAGCTATGTGACATTAGATAAAAGCTAGTGAGTCCAATACTTGGTCAGGTTAGAGATGGCTAGTGAATCTACATGACACAAATTTCCAAAGAACACAATACTGTTTCACATAGATATAAAAAAAAAAGAAGAATAAAGAAAACTAATACTCAATTTAAACCAAACCTTTGCTACGCACCTAATTTATATTTTTTTTCTACTGAAATATATTTGTGGCCCAATTAGTTCATATTATTCAACAATTAATACCCGATATGAATTCTTTCTTGGCTTCAAATTCATGGTTAAATTATTATTATTATTATTATTATTATTATTATTATTATACTTTCTCTTATTCGTAAGGGTGTCTATCCTATTGAGCTTATTGGACTCCTACTATATATAGTTGCGTTTAATACCCGATACTATTTCATCGGAATTCAGCACAAAGGTTTCAAATTAGATTGGCAAAATTGAAATTTTAGAACTAAATCGGTATTTGTACAATAGGTTTATGACTGATTAGGTAATTTTTCCCATTATTGTTCTTATCGTAAATTGAAATGCTTACATCTTAATAAAATCATAACTCATTAGTCACATTATCTTTTTTTTTCTTTTTTGGTGTAAATGTAAGTAGTATGTATAAGATGACGTACATAAGCTTAG